TCTTGTTTGTACCCCTTATTTTGTCATCTAATACCTCTATTCAAAACTTCCACTATCAAGATGAACAGCAGAGGAGACAAGGGGCATCATTGTCTTGCACCCTTTGAGTTTCACATGAATTAGTTAAATTACCATTAATGACAATTGTTTCTATGACATGTAGACTACTTTGATTCAAAGTATGACTCAAATAAAGTTCTCTCTAAAGTCAATTTCTTTCAATACTTTGAACATAAAAGCCCAAATTAAGTTGTCAAAGGTCTTTTCTGTATCTAGTAATATTAAGGCTGCCCGTTTCTCATTATGATATTGTAAATATTGAATAATATTAAAAATATTATATCTTACAAATCTAGTTATTTATATTTATTAATTGGTTTGTTGATTAATGGTTCAAGATCATCACAAAAATTAAAAACATAATACACTATAAATACATGCACAAATTACAATACATACATATATAAAAGGAGAGGTGTTGGACTAGAAGACCTCCAAAGTTTTTTTATAGCCTTTTTAAAAGCCCAGTGTATTGTGATCAAAGCTAATATCCTTGCTTTGAGGGATAGCTTTTAACACATTTTTAAGAAAATTACACCACAATAAAGATGCAAAGCCAAAGTAGAAAAAAGTACTAATAAAGCATTAGGGATTTTTTAGTGCTGTTTTTGCCATTTCCCTTATATTGTTCCCCCAACCATAAACTGCAGTTTTAATATTTATAGTCTATATTGAACATTGAAGGTTACTGTTAATATCTCTTTTTTAAAGTTAGTGTAAAAAGTCTTCCTGCAATCCATATCCCAATTTTCCAAATTTGTCTTGCTGTGTGATGTTTTATGTAAAAGAACAACTTCTGCTTATATTTTATTAGATTTCTACTGTGATATATACTGTTATTTTTGTCCTATGTGTAGTCTCCAATTTTAACTTATCCAAGTTGTTTGGATTGACAACTTTTTTTATTATACCCGTTAACATGCATTTTAGTCAATCATGACATTTTCCATTTGGAATTATAACTAATAAAATATCTGTGGTCTCCTTGTATATACAGTGTATTAAAGTCTATTACATTTGTGTTCATTTTGTCCTTGCTAGAAATTGTGTAATTTTTTTACCTGATTATGCTGCAGAACTTCTACTGGAAGAAGTGTTTGGCAATATATAGGGAGTATTATTTCTTGGAAGTAAAATAAGATAACAAAGGATCCAAGTTTGTGTTAAGAATTTAAAGGAAAGGCTATTTGTTATGTCCATTTTTCTACAGTATTTTCTAAATGAGGGAATAATTGTATATGTTCCTAAACAGGTGAGTCACCAGGATTTGAATTTGACAAACTAAATTTGACTTGATTGTTTTACTCTGTTTCCTTGAAAATAAGACCTCCTCAGATAATAAGCCCAATTGGGCTTTTGAGTGCATGTGCCAAAATAAAACCTTCCCCAAAAATAAGCCCTCCCTGAAAATACTGCAATAGAGCAGCAGCCATGAGGTCACAGGCTTGCCATCTCCTGCACATCAAAAATAATAAGAGCTTCCCAAAAATAAGGCCAAGTGCATATTTCAGGAATTGAAATATACTACAAGACAGGGTCTTATTTTCAGGGAAACATGGTATGTTTATGAAAGTGTATAGGTTTTTTTTCAGACTCCTGGAGTAAGGCAGTTTCTGTACATCCAATCTACAAAAGTGAATAAGATTTGGCATGTTTACATATTTCTTTATGCAATTTTCACATTTTCACATTAAACAGTTGAATTATATTAGTAGGATAACTAAAACTTTAGGCATTATTTCTATAATGATTACTTCTAATTTGAGATCTTTTATATTTAAGTGAACTGTTCATTCCTCTTCATTGTAGGAATTTTCTAAAAGAATGTTATGACTCTTGGACTCACATGATACAAACTCACAACTAATTCAGATTGTACAATACATGTAAAAAGTCAATCCAGTGGTGTCCTTTCCCAGAGTCTCATAAAGGCACCTTTCACTTCTTTATTCCTCAAACTGTATATGACTGGGTTTAAAGCAGGGCTAATGATTGTATGAAAAAGGGAGAGGTATTTGTCTGTATTTGGAGAAGAAGTGGAATTGGGTTTCATATACTTAATACAAGCAGAACCAAAGAATAAGGTCACAACCATGAGATGTGAGGAGCAAGTGAAGAAAGTCTTTTTCCGGCCCTCAGAGGATGAGATCTTTGAAATGGCAGCAATGATTCCAGAGTAAGACATTAAAATCAGAAGAAAAGGAAAAGTTGCAAAAATCACCACAACTACAAAATCAGTTATTTCAATTCTAAACGTATTCCCACAAGCCAATTTCAATAATGGAGGAATGTCACAAAAATAATGATTGATAATATTAGAATTGCAAAAAGGCATTGTGAATACCATAGTTGTATGGCTAAAAGACATGAGAAATCCACTCAACCAAGAGGCTACAACTAAGTTAGTATAAACTTTTTGCCCCATTAGGACAGAGTAGTGCAGAGGCTTGCAAATGGCAACGTAACGATCATAAGCCATTGAGGCCAAGAGGAAACATTCTGTTCCACCCAAAAACAATGCAAAATAATTCTGCAGAGCACAACCCATAAAAGAAATGGATTTATTTCCTGAGCAGAAATTGTGAAGCATCTTGGGGACAATAGCTGATGTGAAACATACCTCAAGGAAGGATAGATTCCTTAGAAAAAAAATACATGGGTTTGTGCAGGGTTTGGTCAACCAATGTAAGGAGAATGATTAGAAGATTTCCAGTCAAAGCATTGATGTAGATTCCTAAAAGAATAGAGAAAAGTATGCTTTGTATATGGTATTCTTCAGAAAGACCCAAAAGTATGAATTTGGTTGGTGATGTGTTGTTTTGTAGAACATTTTCTTTCTTTATATGCATCCTAGAAAAAAAAGCAACTATATGTTAATTTAATAAATTAAAATTTGATTTTATTCAATTCAGTTATGGGTGAAATCATACTCAGGCTTAGTAATATTAAAAATTGGGACTTGGGCTAAATCTATCTATCAAGGCAACTTCTGCTTATTAGAGCACCTGTGGAGGTCCGATAAGTCCGAGGCGAACCGAGCACTTCTGACCACCTGCACCAAAGACTACATCCGGGCATTAAGAGATGCCAAAAGAACGCATATCTCTGCCTTGGTTGCGTCCGCCGAGTCACGCCCAGCCGCCCTGTTTAGGATCACCCGTTCCCTCCTTAATAGGAGGGATCTGGGAGATCCCTTGCAGGGTAGGGCTGAGGACTATGCCCAGTTCTTGGCGGACAAAGTTGCTCGGTTTCGGTCGGACTTGGACTCCACCACAGTAGATCCAGCCGAGACACAGGGGGATTACTTGGCAAGTCATCTCTGGGTTGAGTTCCAGGATGTTGCCTCTGGGGATGTGGACAATGCCATTCTAGCTGTAAGTGCCTCCGCCTGTATCTTGGACCCGTGTCCCTCCTGGCTNCTGATGTGCAAACACAGGCAAGATGTGATTAGTATTTCCTATGCTTTGTGAAATAAATTTAATCTTAGCACATGATCTTTGATGCAGTTGAACAATTCTTGGAATTCACTTTCACAGCGATTCTTATCTCCTTCCTTTAAAATAGTTGCTAATAGTTTATAAGGCATATAATATTTCCTGTATAAAGCCTATGCTATAGAGAGAGGAAATAGGTAATTGTGTTACTCTGCTTTATCTGCAGCTCCCTTCTATATACATGGTCCTTGACTTACGGCCACAAGTGAGCCCAAAATTTCTGTTGCTAAGCGAGACATTGGTTAACAGAGTCTTGCCCCCATATTATTTACCTTTCTTGCTGCATTTGTTAAAAGAATCACTGCTGCTGTTAAGTTGGTAACACGGTTGTTAAGTGAATCTGGCTTCCCCATTGACATTGCTTGTCAGAAGGCCATAAAAGTGGATCACATGACCTTGGGACACAGCGACGGTCATAAGTATGAATCGGTTGCTAAGCATCTGGATTTTGATCACGTGACCATGGGGGTGCTGCAACGGCCATGTCATTTTTTTCCCAGCACCGTTGTATCTTTGAACGGTCACTAAATGAACTGTCATAAGTCGAGGACTGCCTTTGCTCTGAAATGCAAACGGATGGATCTGATTTTGTTGGCTGCCATCATTGGAATTTTTAGATAAAATGAGAAGTCTGAAAAATAGTTTCTTCTGAAAAAATTGAAGGTGTGTCTGATACGATCCTAGTTCATTTTAATAATGCAAATTGCATCATCCAAATTTGACAGGTTGACTATGAACTAAATAGGTAATTGATGCGAATAAATTAAGAACATAAGACTCTAGCGCAGGAGGGTCAAACTCAAGGCCCAGTGCTTAGATCTGGCCCATGGGGCCAGCCTGGAAACAGCGAAGGACTGGCCTGCGGTGCCTCTGGCAGTGAAAACAGAGCTCTGGAAGGCCGTGTGCAGCTCTCCTGAGGTCTATTTTTGCTGACAAAAGGTTGCAGAAGACCGTTGCAGCCGAGAACGGAGCTCATGCGGGCCACAGGCAGCCCTCCCAAGCAGAGGTGAACTGTCGCCGGTTCACACCAGTTCAGGTGAACTGGTATTTACGATTCTGCACAGTTCAGCAAACCAGCAAATCCCACCACTGGCTGGCCCTGGCCCCACATTTTTCGGTCTGTTTTCTGGACCATTTTTGGTTCAAAAATTGCCTCTTTTTGGCCAATTTCAGGCTGGTTTGGGGGCCATTTTTAGGCCAAAAATGGACTCTTGGGGGGCTTTTTGGGCTGTTTTGTTTGGCCAGAAAAACAGCCTGAAAATGGCCCAAAAGTCAGCCTGCAGTTGGCCTGAAAAACACTCCCAAAACGGCCTGAAAATAGCCAAAAAATGGCCAAAAAAAAGGCTGAAAAATGGGCGGGGCCAGCCAGTAAGTGGGATTAGCCCTAACTGGCCAAATTCTACCTCTGACTTTGAGGCAAGTGGCCGGGAGGCAGGGCTATGTGTGATGAGTGATGTCCCCAACCAGTCACATGGCCAACCAGCCATGCCTACCCAGCCAGAGAACGGGTTGGTAAGTTATTCAAGTCTCACCACTGTTCCTAAGCTCCGTTTTTGCTGGCAGAGGGTTGCAGGAGGCCGTTGCAGCAGAAAACAGAGCTCAGGAGCCTGTTTTCTCTGGCAGCCCACTCGGGACATCACAGGCGCCCCCAACACAAGTAACATAGAGCTTGCCACGCCCACCCTGGCCATGCCCCGCCCAGGTCAAACACAACCCTGATGCGGCCCTCAATGAAATTGAGTTTGACACCCCTGCTCTAGCAGAAGTCATGAGGTTTAGCCTAATGCCAATCTAGTCTATTTAGTATACAATAATCAGATAGCTATAATAATAAGGAAACTCAAAAACAGGATAGGAAAGTGTCAGATCTTTCGACAAGGAAGTTCTTGAATTAATATGCCGTACAACCTCTAAAATTAGTAACTGCTCAATTTCTTGGCTTAGATGAGTCTAATCCCCCCCCTACAAGGAAGATGTGAATTCTTTTCTGATATTTGTTAATATCTTTTATTCCTTATTTTTAGTGTTTAGGATTGTTTTATTGGTGTGTGTCCCCCCCACCCCCCGTGATATTACTTGTGAGCCATTCAGAGCCATTAAGAGTCTGGAAGTATACAAATTTAATCAACTGGTTTAACCGATCAGCAGTTGATAATCCCATCCTGCATGAATTTTTTTTAATTTTTTTTATTTTATCAATTTCATATATACATTCACAATTATATGATCTCATAACTGTTATTAATAATATGTATTTATAACAATTTTTTCCTACAGTTGACAATATACTTGAAAATTGCTTTCTTGACATCCCATAGATCCCATAGATCCATCTTATCTTACAACGGTCCTACTTCTTCTTCCCTCCCTCCCCTTCCCTCCCTCCATTCTTCTCTCCTTCTCTCCTTCCCTCCCTCCTTCCCTCCCTCTAATTTTCTTATTATCTTAGGAAGAAACTCGGGCTGACCATTTGATAAAATATGTAGCTGGATGTAAATGAACAAGTTAATTGTTAATATCAGTTTCTTAACTATATATATATTTAAATGGTTGATATAAATATTGTTTTCACATCTCTAATGCTGCAATATTATGCAGAAACCTTTCTGGAGTCCTTATTTCTTAATATAAACCCTATATGACTGAGACTGGATTTAAACATCTCGATATAG